AAATGAGGCCCGTGCTATCTGACCAAGGTCTCTTGCCCTTCTGAAGATACAGGTGCTCACCAACATTAGACATGAAGAAGCCACTTTATCTGGTCTTCTGGGTTACATCTAGTTTTACGGGGGGTGGCTGGGAGCACACACAGGCCAAATTAATTTTCCTGGCTTCTGCAGCAACCCACACCTGGCCACCATCTTCTCCCAGCCCCTCGGGTTACAGACATGTTCTGGTTACAGGACAAGGAAGAGTCCCCAGACAAGACAATAGCTGGAAGCATCCTGCCAGAATAATTTGCAGCTCATGGCCTCCTCCCTGCAAGCCCTGAATTACTTCTGGAAATGACAGATGGTGAGAGTGCAGAAGTCCATCTGACCAACCCTACAGCAAACCTGGAGCACACAGCAAAATAACTGTGCAGATCCATGGATTAGTGAAGGACAATAAGCCAAACTTTTGTGGGAATCACTGGACCTTCCACATCCCCACTAAATGTTCATATTGCCCATGGGTCCTGCCATGTGACAGGAGAAAGACCACATGCTCTTGTAGTCACAAAATCTGAGTAACTCAGTCAGCTAAAACAATCTGGTTCCCCTGTTGTGTACAAGTTCAGGTTATAAAGCAATTTCTGTTCAGCTCTAATTGCATAGATTCCACAGTGGTCGTTTTCATGTTGTTCCTAATCAAGATGAACTCATTGGTTTTACTGTGTGCTTCATTTTGCTTTGTTTTTCAAACATGAGGAAAATATTTTCAACACTTTTGTGTTTCACAACTGGAAAACATATCCCTTTCTCCACTCTTAAGGTATTTGAAGCACCCCTTTTCTTGTCAAGACTAGACACAGCTGACTGCTAAGACTTGAAATGGAGCATGAAAATATTTTTCCACAAGGACAAGAGCCTCCATTTGGCAAGAAAAATAGCAGACTGTTCTCAAAAGTGATGAGCTTTGGAAAACCTACGGTCTGCATATACGAGAGAGGAAAATCTCATTCCTGTGATAACCATGCCTACCAACAGAACTGGACAGGAATGTAGGTCTGGGATGGGCAAATTTTCCATTTGTAGATGACTTGGGTTTGGAGGCTGGCCATGGTGTCCTTCCTATTTAACTTAAGTTGCCTATCCCCTCATTACAAAGCCCATTTTTCCACAGAAACAACTGAGAAGGTATGGTCTTTGTTGATGCTTTGGTACCTGCTCTTTTCACGGGGCTTGACCTAGAGAAAATCAAGCAAAGTATTTGCCAGTCCCACATTAATCCCCCTCTCCAGTCTATGATCAGAAGCTTTCTTTTTACAAGTTCGACAAAAGACACAAAAGACACTGACATGCTTCTGCTTCCACAGCAACCAGTCCTGGCCTGTGCAAGGAAGTTGCAGTTTAATTAAACCAGTTCAAAAACTGATGCTGTTAAATTAATGCTAAATCTGTGGGAGGATAGATGTTATTTTGCTGGAGAGCTTTCTACTGTTTTAACTGAAGTGGTAAGGAATGGATTTAAGCTAAATCAATATACAACGTACTTCAACTGATATGTGTCCAAAAAAGGCATTTGCATCAACATAATGAAACAGCACAAGATTTTCATGTAGACAAGACTCAGAAGAAAATGTAACCATATTATACTTGGGGAATACCGTGAACATGCCTTGTTTTGCCCTTGTCTGCTGTCAACACCTCCTCCACTGCCTCCAGGGGTCTGCTCCCCGCTGCCTGACAGTTTTATTAACTATCTCTTCCTGTCTTATTTACCCTCAGGTACCCACTTACTGGCAAGTTACACTTCTCTTTATCACCAAACCACCCCATTTGATGCAGCTCTCAAAACTGTAGCTTCCTGCAGTTCTGCTAAGTTAACAGGTTCCTCTTCAGGGTAGTTTCAAGCTGACGTTCCACAGACTTTCCCCTATTTCCTCTATTTGTAAAGGTAATAGTTACTACCGCTTCAGAGCCAGACTAGGTGGGGTTTCCTCAGAAACCAAAATATATCACTTCAGGCTTCTTGTGTGTCCAGTGCTGTGGAAATGTCAGAATGTGACTACTCTTTCTCGGAAGTCCATCTCTCTACAGAGGGTGACACTCAGTGACTGAGCGAAAGTATAAAAAAGGCCATAAACCAGTTTTAGCAGCTCTGCTTTTTTAGCCTGGCATGATATCCCAGCGCCTGTTCAATCAGCTTGAGCCCACTGGTTTACAATACAGTGGAGAAAGTGCTTGGGAAAAGGTCAGTTCCTACTCTTCTTGCTGTTCTTGGTTCCCTCCCCCAGATGCCAGCAAGCTCAGGCCAAGGCTGGGATGCAGATCCTGAGGAATCTCATCTCCCCCATTGTGCCTGAGTCACCACCATGGCTGCATCGTCAGCTGCAGGGGGGAACAGAGGGGATCTCTGGTGAGGAAGCACTGCAAAACATACACAGTGCTGAAATCGTGACATCCAGCCATTCTGAGGACATCAGGGCCAATATACAAAATAGGTTAGACAGAGTTCAGTATTAGACTGGCTGAACAAAGAGAGAGCTGACACTGTTGGCAGACTTTTTAACAGAAGGCTTGCTCCGATGCTGTTGAATCAATGGCAAATCTCCCAATGGATGTAGCCTCTGGCCGCAAATGTGTAGTTAACAACCCAACTATGTACAGTGCATACTGCTTCCTACGAGCTGTAGACAGCCCGCAATCCCCATTGACTGCTGCAGTCAAAAACAAGCTGGAGGTGCTGAGCACATTAAAGTGCTACCGGTCGTAGTAAACCCAACCCATCTAAATTTTAGACAGTCTTTCTGTTTCCCCTGGGATATACAACATGTTGTAAGTAAGTGCCTGGTTAACAGGAGGGAGAAAACAGACTGGATTTCCCCCCCACACATAACTGCAAGTTTTGGAACATCTTTGAGAGAGAGTGGTGAGTTAAGGCAGGAAAAGCAGTCTCACACATTTCAGTGCAAAAGACAGCAGGGAAAAGGAAATTCTTTTCTGTGCTTTTAATTTAAGGATCAGACAATTCAGAAAGTCGGTATGTTAGTGATAATTTCTAATTTCCTCTTCAAAACTCAGATTGGATCTTTTGAGTCCCCACCAGAAAATTTTCATGCCTATTTATTTATTACAAATGTAAGCCACCTTCATTTTTTTTCTTCTTATCCTTTTTAGGAAAAGAGGCAGAGGAAGAGAGATTTCCACCTTCTCATTATTACAAAATCTAAGGAATGCAATATGCAATTCAATCTGCTGAGAGACTATTGAAGAAATTCAAAAGCAGCCGTCACACACAAGTTTAACTCTGCCCCCGTGTGTGCAAACATTAAAACACACCCTCCCATCCATTACCTGGATCCTGTTCTATTTTTGTGCAAAAGGATGTATTAGTTTATGACACTAATTATATATGACATCCATGATGACCATGTAGCTACAGGACACCTTTTCTCTTCTACACTCACATGTCTCTCTCTGCATTATGAAACTGTCCTTTATGAATGCATTGGCCACTGAAAAAAACAAGCCATAGAGATATGCCTGTTGCCTGTACTAATAAAACAAGGAGAAGCGAAAGTGAAAAGAAAAAACAGGCAACTCTGGGATTTTACCAGAGATGGTCCTGTTAAGATTGGGAAAAAATGGGGACTTAATTTTACTTCTCACCTTTGCCATGCATGCCCTGTGTGAACTACCCTTTTCTACCCTGTGCCTCACTTCCCAGACTGTGAAGCACAGATACCATCACCTTCGTGTGTGTGGGTGAAAAGGAACTACTTCTTCCTCTGTAAACGCACACTGTGGTTTCTCTAGCTGTCTCACTTCATCAGCATGCAGCGTCGGGAGGCTCTGTCAAGGGGAGACCAGCCCAGGCCGCCATCACTGCCGTGGGGACACGCTGCTCCAGACAAAAGGGCTCAGCCCTTCCTCGGCCCATGGCTCACAGCCCACAGCCACACGGCCAGCAGTGAGGGAGCAGCTCCATGAGCCGAGACCGACAGACCTCTGTCTCACACCCTACCCCGGGGCTCCTGTTTATTGGCTCATTTTGGGACACCCCCCTGGCTTTACCGATGACAAATCGTGGGCCAAAGTGCCGCTGAATGAAACAGGCTCTCCATCAGGTAACCGATGGGGTGAACTGCAACAGCGTGTTGCAACACCCCAGCGCGTATCACAAGCGAGATACGCATGAACAACCCGTGGCACGGGGACAGGGCACTGCAGGAGCTGTACCCCGCACAAACACAAGCCGGATCAGGGCACAGCTGCCCTCAGCCCTCATCTTTTGACAAGGAACTTCACTGGGAGGAGAGGCCCACAGGCCGCACCACTGCATGCCCCAGGGGGTGATCACCTCCGTGATTTTTAACTGAGTTCAGCTTTCACATTAACCTGTGTGAGATGAGTCTACAGAGAAAAAGCCACAGCCTTGTTTGCCGGATATGGGAGGACCCAGAGCACCAGCGCTGCTCCACCATCTTCCCCTGCCCTGGCCAGAGCCCAGTCACTATTAAACCAGCTGGGCAAGAGGCAGCTGCAGTGGGGCTGCCCAGATGGTTTGCAGGGCCATGGCGACCTACGTGCAGCTGAGCACCGGGGCAAAGATGCCCTTTGTGGGGCTGGGCACCTGGAAGGTAACAGCTTCAGAGAAAAGCACCAATATTGCAGAGCTCCCTGGCACAAAACTCGGTTCCCCCTGGTCCAGCTCTGGAGAGCTGTCCTGGTGTCTGGGGCTCTGCTCTACCTGTCTGTTGGGCTGAACCTGCGTGGGAGTGGGGCTACAGAGAAATGGCTGGAGGCTGGCTTCAAGCCCAGGAGCCCATGTTTATGACTGCAAGAAATACTGTTCTGGTAAAGAAAAAAACTCACAACCTGGGGGAGGGGGGGATTGCTTTCAGTAAGGAGGTTGTCCTATTTTTATTTTGCTAGGATACTGGTATTTCACAGGTACTGATTTGAGATTCTTAAGATTTATGCATTATTTTTAGTCCTCAGCTGGGCAAGTAACAGCTGCAGTGATGGCTGCCATCGATGCTGGGTACCACCACTTTGATTGTGCCTACGTGTACCAGAATGAGAATGAAGCTGGGGAAGGGATCCAGCAGAAAATCAAGGAAGGCATTGTGAAACGAGGACCTTTCATCATCAGTAAGGTGAGGATCTGACGATCTTTCACCCGGGAGCAGGGGTGGGGGAATGCTTTCCCTATAGTATTTTCATAGTAGGAAGCTTAAGTACTGGAGATGAACTTTATGCTGTGGGATAAAGCAATTCATAACATCATTCAAGTCACTCCCGATACAAGCTTACTGCTTAATCCCGTTCTGTATGGAGAGTTAGGAAGGACTGTGTCTGCACCCTGCTGGGGTCTGGC